GAAACGAAGCATTAAACAGAGGCTGAGCAAGCCACACGGGCACAACCCACACGGCCGTGTGACCTGGCCATGTGGCCGTGTGGAAATCACCAAGCCTTCACACGGGCAGCTGGGAAAGCCACATGGCCGTGTGAGTCGGGAATTGCTGTTTAAAACCCGATTTTAAGCAAAAGGAAAGGGAGAGAGCGGGGTTTTGGATCCCAAACACCCAAGGGACGAACCCTAGAGAGAGAGAGCGACTTGGGAACATTCTTGCAGCTATTTTGGAGGATTTCTTCGCCATTGGAGCTCGGGAATCAAGCTTGGAGATGGAGATTGAAGATCTAGATCATATTTCTGCAGTCTCTCTCTTCTCTATGGAGTAACTTCCCTTCACTTAGGTTTTGAGGAACCTTAGTTCCATGAGTTAGGATCTTTCTTGTATGAAGTTTTGGATGCTATATTGTTTGATTTTAATCGAATGATGCATGTTTATTGAGTCAATTGAAGTCTGATCAACTTTTCCTGATTCCTGCTGCAATCTGAGATAGATAGAATCTGATTAGGTTGCTAGAGTCTCATCCTTCGGTAGTAGGAGATTGGTTATACGAGAGTTAGCCAGTTTACTGCTTTGTACTGGAATCCAATTCCAGTAGTGGAGTTCTGTGCTTATTGCTTCAGCTTTCTATCCCGGTGAAGACTCGTCGTCTGCCGGATAGTTAGACTGAGAGGGCTTGGTCAGCTTAAGAGATTCCAAGCTACTGTCGGATCTTCCGCAGTTTAATCAACAGTAAATCAACCAAAATGAATTACAACTTGGACCTAATTGAGGAGCTAGGGGGAATCATACCTAAGTGAGTTCCCAACTTGTAATTAGTAGAGTAGTCAGTAGAGTTCCCAACTCTGTTTATTGCTTCGTTTCTCCCTCGTCCGGACTCCGAATCAGTTCCCGTTTGATCCCAGACGCTCCTAGTCACGTCCTCTTTCTTTTCATGACAAGCTTGCATGATTCTTTGTCCATTAAGTGAGGTAGAAATCCATTATTCTTCAGGTCATGCCCGAGTTTCTTCTCCCGAATCATCAATTGATCTCTGATTGATTTGAAACTTGCGCCTATGCTTCACTTTATGTGCTAGGACCTGAAATGTGACAAAGGAACACAACCTAGCATAAAATAGGACAAAGACGCAATAATTCAAGCTCAAACAATCAAGAAACAAAGGGGAAAACATGTGCAAATACCGAGTCATCAAGCGGCCATCTTTCCATTGAAAGCTTGAATTTCCTTAACAGTCTGAGGCGGTCTTAGGCTTGTTATGGCTTCTATCTGTTTTGGGTTGGCCTCTATGCCTCTGCTTGTGATCATGAATCCTAGGAATTTCCCTGCTTTTGCCCCGAACACGCACTTGAGCGGGTTTAGCCGTAGGCGCTCTTTTCTCAGACTTTCAAAAGTCTCTCTTAGGTCCTTCAGGTGATCCGCTTCCCTCCTACTCTTTACTAAGACATCATCGACATATGCCTCCACGTTTCTTCCCAGCTAGCTCTTGAAGACCGCATCGATCATTCTTTGGTACGTTGCCCCCGCGTTCTTCAGGCCAAACGGCATGTCCGTGTAGCAGAAGTTTCCCATGTGGGTCATGAAAGTGGTTTTCTCCTGATCCTCTTCAGACAAGCGGATCTGGTGATATCCCGAGAACATGTCCAGGAAGCTAAGACTTTCATGATTAGTGGTCGCGTCGATGAGCTGATCTATTCTTGGCAATGGATAGGCGTCCTTCGGACAGGCCGCATTTAGATTTGTGAAATCTATGCACATTCGTCATAACCCGGATGCCTTGCGGACGAAACAGGGTTCAACAGCCAAGTAGGATACCTGACTTCTCTAATAAACCCGGCTTTTAACAACCACCTCACTTCTTCCTCCAATGCCATTTGCTTCTCCAGGGACGCGGTTCTTCTTCTCTGTTGGATGGGCTTCGACTTACTTTTCACCGACAGGTGATGCTCGGCGAGTTCCCTTGAGACGCCCGACATGTCCTCCGAGGTCCATGCGAACAAATCTTTGTACTCTTTGAGGAGCGCCAGCAGCTCTCGGGCCTTCTCTTCTGTTAGATGGGAAGAAATTCTCACCTTCTTTTCGGGCTCCTCGTCATCGAGCACTACCTCCGCGTCTCCCTTAACCACCTCCGGGCGGGGGTGTCCCCCTTGGGTGTCCACCAAGTCCACCTCCAAGCTTTCTATCGTCGCCTGGTAACACTCCTTTGCCTGCTCTGTGTTCCCTTTGACCCGCCCTACTCTTCCCCTGCAGGGAATTTAAGCATCTGGTGGCAAGTCGACGGAACCGTGGAAAACAGTGACAGGAAACCGCGCCCTAGAATCGCGTTGTATGCTGACGGACAGTCTGCTACGTGGAATTCCATGGTTCATGTCTTCGTCACATCCGCCTCTCTAATTGTTAACTGCAGGGCGATCATGCCCAACACTCTGATCTTTGATCCCGAGAACCCCACGAGGCTCGTCGTCGACGGCCTAAGATCTTGCATGCTCGTCTTCATACTCTTTAGCGTGGAGTAGAACAGTATGTCTGCTGAACTTCCGTTATCTACCAACGCCCTTGTGACTTTGAACTTTCTTGTTCTCAGGGAGATGACTAGTGGATCTTCTGTGCTTTCGTCGGGCGCTAGCTCGGAGGGCGAGAAACTGATGTCCACTTGCTCACTCCTGTTAACATTCAAGCACTGGACTAGGCGGTCCCCCTCAATTCGGGGTCGCTTCCGTCCACCAACGATGGTAATGACCTCTATGTCATCCTCATTCTGTCGGGGCTGACGCTGAGGTGACCTTCTCGGCGGTGGTGGTATGCGGTCGCGCCGCGGAGATCTCTCTCTCCTTTGCGATCTTGACCCTTTGCGCTTAGGCGTGCGCGACCTTCTTCTTGGGCTTGGTGACCTCTCTCTATGGTGCCTCTCCTCCTGGTGGTGGGGACGTGTATCTAGGCGGCTTTTGAGGTCTCCAGGCGCCAAGTATTTCAGACTGGCCCTAAACTCCCGACACTCTGTGGTGTCGTGGGTGGGAATCTGGTGCCAGTCACACCACTTTCGATCCTCTTCCCTCCTATGCGTCTGGTGCGCATTGCTGTTGTCGCCTCTCCTTTCTCTTCCTTCTTCTTTGCTAGCAGTGAAGATTTCCCTTTGATTGTCACAGTGGGCAAACCGTGGTTTATAGCTGCGTCTTTCCGCTGACCGCCCTCTTCTCTTGGGCGATTCCCCCTTTTTCTTATCTGGCTTCTCCTTTGCGCTGACACGCTTAGCGGCATCCTCCACGATCATGGCCTCTTCCAACAGAATCGCCTTTATCACTAGGCGGTCAAGATCAAGCCATTCCTTCAGTGCATGTTCCTTTTTGATGAGCGCCCTCCGCAGCTCACAGCTGTGTGTTGACATGCGCAGGTTTCCCGCTGCCACACTTGGTGATATCCCTTGCACTTCACATGCTATGGTGTTCCATCGGTCATAGAAGTCGGTCAGCGTTTCTTCTCCGCCTTGTTTGCAGTTGATTACGGCGGAGACGATTAACTTCCTCCTTCGCTGGGACGCAAACTTGGAGGAAAAGAGGGTGGCAAACTGCTCGAAGTTTTCGATTATTCCCTCAGGAAGGGAGGTGTACCAAGTTCGGCAGTGTCCGCCAAACGTGACGGGGAACGCCTTACACAGATCGGCGTCTGTGGCGTTGATGAAGGCGCTCAGGTGATCGTCGGGATCGGAGCTTCCGCTGTAAGTCAGTAGCCCGAGCGATGAGAAGTTTGGGGGTACTTGAGTTCTGAACAAACTTTTGGCCAGAGGGTTTTGGAGGATGTTATGGGCCTTTGCACCTCCATATGAGGGCTTTAAGATGTTCCTCCAAGAACCCTAGGCTCACATCTTCCGTTCCTTCTTCTTTATCAGACTCCCCGCCTTCTGTCTGAGCAGGGTTGTCGGGATCCTTTTCTCTTCCTTTTCCTTTGGCTGCTCGTTTCCCTGAGCTTTTTGGGGCCTCGCTTTCCTTCTCCTTGAGCATGGCCAAGATTTGGCTTAAAATCTCTTGCATGCTTGATATTTGTTGTCCTTGACTTTTGACGCGGTCTTCCATTTCCATCTCTTCCTCCACCACGGGCATTTCCATTCCACGGATGTCGCTCATTGCCAACTCTTGCCCGCGGAAGTTGTTTCCCCCAACTACACCTTTGACAGGGGTGTTGGAGCTCCCATCCATCCTTTCTTCAGTGATATGCTCGCCCCACGGTGGGTGCCAAATTGTTTAAGCATGGATTGTTCCAGGCGGTTTGTGCAGAACGAGCAAGGCGTCTGTTCTAGATGGCGGGTGTACTCCAAACCCCTACAAAACAAGGGTCTGTGGGCGGTCTCCCCAGACACTCTCCAATGCTTAAGTTAGAGAGAAAATAAGAAGTGTTGTTTAGGTTTAGAGAGAGAGAGAGAGTAGTTGAGTTACCATTAATGCTGATACCAGTGTATTTATAGTCAACCAGCTTGAGTATGAGGCATTAAATGCCTTGTCAGGAGGCCTAGATAGGCTCAGCTTTATCTGGACAGCCTGCGGCGCGCATTAAATGCTCAGTCCTGCTGTATACGAGGTAAGTATCCTAGGAAGATCTACTTTTCCTGACACCAACGGTCTCCTGCGTCGGGCGGCCTATTCCCCGTCGCATCATAGGGTGGCCGCCTACAGTATCTCCTTTCCCCATGCCCTTTCTCGGGTCCCTCGCTGTGATTCGGAGCCCTCTTTGGGCCCTGTTCTGTTATCCTCTCATGGGCCTCTTAGACCGAATACCGCTTAACTATGGGCCCAACAGTTTTCATATCTCTATATTCTTCTAAAATTTTGTACCATCTCTTTGGAAGGTTAAGATATATTTGAAGCTATGCTGAACTTGCAGCTACACCTACCATCATATAGTTCTTATTTAAATCCCAAAACAAAGGGAAAAGAAGAACAAAGGGAAAAGAAGATATTAAGAATCCTGACAATACACAACGTCATTATTCCTCTTTCCTCTCTCTACCTTTCCCTTCCTCTCCCCTCTCACTAGTTTCAAATACAGATCTGGGATTTGGGGTGGCCGTCGGCAACCATTTTGGACCGGCGGTGGCCCAAACCTTTTCATTCTTGCCTCTCTTTTTCCATTTTTGGTGCTTTGTCTTTCTCTAGTATTTCTTTCTTTCTATTTCACGCCGCTGGCGCTGCTCTTTTGCTGTTTATTATCCATTTCAAGATTTCCTCCATCTTAGTGATGATGATTTTCCGATCTCCACGAGGAGATGCTTTTGCGCCTGCCAGATCGCCGATCTGTGTGGATGTTTTCTCTAGTAGGTCTTTCAGGGTGCCGAGCTCGTCTGTTTGCTTGCTCCTCTCTGGTCCTCCATCTACATCCACATGTTTCATCCAAAAATGGGGATGAATCGGAGATGCGTGGACACTGGCTGTCTTTGATGAAGATTCAGGGGGGCTTGTGAGCATGGATGGCACTATTGAGGATGGGACCAGCTTAGGGCTCAGATCGGAGGTGTTTTGGTCGTCTTTCTTCTGTCCAAGACTCGGATTGCTCTTTGTTTTACTTGTTTCGTGCTGGTGGAGCTCGGATCTGGATCGAAGATTGGTTCCCCTCATTGGGGTTCGCGCTTTTCCTTTTTTCCATCACGCTGGGGGTCTGCTGGAGCTGGTGGTGTTTTGGAGCTCTAGTCCGCTTCCTCTGTCGTTCATCGACGATTGGTCTAGTGAAGGTTGAAAGGATTTCGGCGGTTGTTTCTCGGTGGTGTTGGATGCTTTCAGCAGCCATCCTCTGTGTGTTTGGGCTAGCGGGTTTAGGATTTTGCTTGGGGTGGGCTGGTCCACGTGTTTGGACATGGGTTTTGAGCTTGCGAGCCTTAGGCCTGGATGTTCCACTTTTGGTTCAAATCCTTTTTCCGTTTGGTTCTTTCGTCCATTGGTTGCTCAAATCGGTTGCAATAAGAGGTTAACATTATCTTTAAGGGCAGTTGTTAATCAAGATTGTTCCCTTACCAGCTTCCTACGAAGGACGAGGTAGTCTGTTCCTTTGGCATGTATTAGAATGGAATGAATATTAGATTGTGAACTATTATGGGAGTTACTACTGTATTTAGGATCTCTATTTTGGTTGGGAAAATGAGATTGAAGTTGAGAAATATAGTCTGCATTTCTTTTGAAACATTAATTACCAACCTTACAGCTTCCTTACTTTGCATCATGTACCTGGACTCTCTGGATGTATTTTGATAAACCTAGTAGTGTTAGTTGTGCTCCATCAAGTATTTTGTTTACTTTAGTGTTGTCTCCTCCATCAAGTCTGCATCTTTTCTGTCTTCTCTGTATATCCTATGAAATTAATACTATTAATAGTTTCCTTTCTATTTCAAGAGTGTTTGATCAATCAGCTTTGCATGGAAATGCACCGACCAATGCAAGTAGGGAATTTGGATGTTCAATTTCTTCGTGTACTCTTTGCAACAGTAGCATCAAGTAGACCATATGACTGCATCTCTCGCAATCATGTACTCTTAATGGTTCACATTAATTGATCTGGGAGTCTTGTGGTTTGATGAAACCAAACTTATTCAAAAATTAATTCTCTTCCATATTTGTTATTATGAACTTCATATTGTTGTACATTGTTTCAAGATGTTGTGGAGCAAGAGATATGTATAAATTTGTTAATTTATATAAGCATATGTTGAACATATTTCCTAATGGGTAGTTTGATAAATTGCGGGTTTGTTTTTTGTGATGGAAATTTGTTTAACTATATGCATGTTAAAACTTGAAATAATTTTTTTATTTGTTATGACAAGGTCTTGCTTCATAGCTTTTGCTTTATGGTGTGTTGTACTACTTCGACTTTTTGAAGTACTTGCACACAAGATTACTATCTTGGATCATTTAGTTAACATTTGTTCTATGCCTTCCCGTGAATTTGAAGTGGCAGAGTCATTCACTCCTCGGGCAAGTTCCATGAATAGGACAAGTGCTTTGCCATGTAAGATTTGGAAAACTAGCAATATTTTAATTTGCATAATTATTGATGAGTTAGATATTCTTGCAAAAATCATTAAAAGAAAGATGTTACATGATTTAGTTCTATGCTTCAGGGTAAGGACGTTCACTTTTCTATCAATGTGAGTCTTCAACTCATTATTCTTATCCAGTGGACAAAGATGCCAATACTATTGTCTTGGGTAAAGTCATCCAATTAAAATTTTTATCTTTTAGATAAGATTTTAAATTAAAAATATATGTGCTCATCATATTCATGGTTTCCACTCCATAATAACATTCTTGGGTGCTTATGTTGTAATCTACGCCTCTTTTTCTTCTCCTCCACCAACATCATCTAGTTTTCTCACACTAACCACCATCGACTATAATAAATTCACATCAATGTATTAATCATCATTGATTCACCACCTCTTAACATTAAACTTGATAAATTGGAACCTTAACCTTGAAAATTATCATTGTAGGTGTTATGTGCTTTTATGTTATTCATGATTTTCCTTACTAATATTATCCCGTCTTCATTTTTATATGGATCTTAAAATCCTACGATTTTACGATTCGATTTTATGATTCCGATTTTACCCACATTTTCGATTTTACGTAAAATCCCGATTTTGACTGCTTACTCATGCTAAGTTATGGTGGTTAGAAAGTGTCATGTCGACACGAGCACTCGAAACTCCACTATTTTTATGTGCTGTAAACGAGGAAGGGTTAAGTTACCGCCACAAAGAGATCCACCAAAATTCATGAGGGAACTTATAGAAGGCCAAAGAGTAGTTGCTCGTAATTTCTGTGAGTTCATTCATGCCTATAACAATGTCTTTTGTTTCATATCTCCATGTGGGAAGTTTAATCATGATATAAATGTTGGCAGAGGTGTCTATGTCTTCTCAATTGAAAGTCCAATATACCATCGTATTGGAGGTTTGGTACCACAAGAAGGTATGACTCCAAAGTTTGCCCAATTATATATCCATGACACTGCTAATGAAGGATTACAAGGGATGTTTGATGCATATAATATATTGATGCAAATGTTTCGCAGTGCAAGAGATCGAATAAATGAGGATGGTGTTCAACAGGTTTAGCTAAGTGATAAACCGTTAATTGCACATGTTTTCACCCCTATTCTTGAGCCGTTTGAGATGTTGATTCTCGTGTTTTAGGCTGATTTCACGCTAGGTTGTGCTTGTTTGTGATATTTCAGGTCCTAGTACGTGAATGAAGGTTTGGGAGCAAGTTCGGGGTCGATTGGACGAAGATCGACGTGAGGCGAGCCGCTGAGGATGCCACACGGGCACACACAAAACCCACACGGCCGTGCAAGTAACCAATGTGGCCGTGTGGGATTGTGCGAGCCATCACAAGGGCACCCATAAAACCCACACGGCCGTGTAGGAAATCAATGTGGCCGTGTGGAATTCTGCGAGGCTTCACACGGGCAGACTGGGCATTCCACACGGCCGTGTGTCTCTGGCCGTGTAGGAAGCCTGAAATCCACTAAATCAGAACGCGGCGTTTTGGACCTCACACGGGCATCTGGGTAAGCCACACGGTCGTGTGGCCTGCCTGTGTGATTGGGATTTTCTGGTTTTTACCCAATTTCGGGCCACAAGTGAGGGGATGGATTTTTTAGAGCAAAAACAAAGCCCTAGAGAGAGAAAGTGCGAAGAACACATCCTAGAAGTAATCTTGGAGCTGGGTTTCATCAAATCGAGCTTGGAGATCGTCATAGGAGTGGAAATCATCATCCTAGAGCAGATTCTTCCCATTGTTATGAGTATGACTGCTTTGTATTCTGTTTTCCTCTCTCTCTCTCTCTCTCTCTCTATGGAGTAGAATTCTTCTCTCACTTTGGTATGAAGAACCCTAGTTCCATGTGTTAGGGATTTGATTGTAATGACTTGGGATGATTATATTGTTTGGTTTTAATCGAATGATGCATGTTTTATTGAATTGATTGAAGTCTGATCAGCTTTTCTTGATTTCTGCTGCAACCTGAGATAGATAGAATCTGATTAGGTTGTTAGAGCCTCTTCATTCGGTAGTAGTAGATTGGTTATACGAGAGTTAGCCATTCTACTGCTTTGTACTGGAATCCAATTCCAGTAGTGGAGTTCTGTGCTTATTGCTTCAGCTTTCTATCCCGGTGATGACTAGTCGTCTGCCGGGTAGTTAGACTGAGAGGGCTTTGTCAGCTTAAGAGATTCCAAGCTACTGTCAGATCTTCCGCAGTCTAATCAACAGTAAATCAACCCAGGGTAATTACAATTGAGACCTAACTAAGGAGCTACGGGGACTCATTCCCGAGTGACTCTTCTTTGCTTGAGAAAACCGAACCAATTCCTGCTTTCTTACTGCTTTTGCTTAAAACAACAATCACTTGACTTAGTTGGCTAGATAATAGATAATCACGGAGTAGGAAGTAGATCTAGACGCCGGGTTGATAATAGAACTTGCCACTTTACTGCATTCCCGGACTGCGATTACACTTGGTCGCAGTTTGGTGTTGTGTTTTAGCGTGTCAAGTTTTTGGCGCCGTTGCCGGGGAACCCTCTAGGTTATTGGAGAAACGTGAAAATTTGTTACTCTAGCTTTTCTTCACTGCATTTTATCTCTTCCACCTGTGTGCCTTCACGGGTTGCTTCTGCTGATTGTGTGCAGGTAGTGCATGACCAGTAGCCAGTCGGGAGATCTACTACCATTAGACCAGGAGCTTGAACGAACCTGTAGGAACTTCAAGCGGGCTCTAAAGGCGCGACTGGCTGCGGAGGAGGAGCTAGCATAGCTGCAGATCGCTGAAGAAGAAGAAGAGATGGGGGATCCACAAGACCATGATGTGGTCCTTCCCGAGGAGCAGACCATGGGATATTACTGGACCGCCAGGGCCGCGGACATGAGGTCACCCATTCAACACCCTCATGTCCCAGCCAACAATTTTGAGGTGAGCACCTCCGTCATCACCATGCTGCGCGGTTCAGTGGTGTTCCGAGGCAAAGAGGGGGAGTGCCCCCGATCACATCTCAGGCGATTCCACGAGCTCATCGATGGAATCAAGATAAATGGGGTCCCAGCAGATGCAATCCAGCTGAGGTACTTCCCGTTTACTCTGGAGGGGCAGGCCAAGGAGTGGCTAGACACTCGACCTCCAGGATCTATCACCACGTTCGCCAACCTGGCGGGCAAGTTCCTCACCCGCTATCATCCTCCGTCAAAAATGGCGGACTTGCAGAAGCAGATCACCCACATCATCCAGGATGAAGATGAGACCATCTGGGATGCATGGGAGAGATACAACAGTCTCTTCCCGAGGTGTCCCAATCATGGTTTCAACGATGCTTTCAAGGTGGCCACCTTCTATCACGCCCTCTTCCCAGAAGACAAGCAGCTGATTGACTTGGTTTGTGGCGGGAACATGCTGACCAAAACACCGCCACAACTGAATCAACTCTTTGAGGAGATGGCAGAGAACGGGTATGATTGGGGAACTGCAAGGAGATCGAGACGAGCACCAGGGCGGGGTGTGCATTCTGTAGCCACCCAGTCATCTGATTTGGTGCAGGTGGTGTCGAAGCTGGTGTCAGCCATCGATCGGTCTGGGATGATTCTAGGGACCGGACAGCAGCAGGCGATGCTCTGCCAGTGGTGTGAGAGCACCCATCACACGGTGGAAGACTGCCAGGCGATGAAGGAATCGACCACACCCCAGGAGCAGGTGAACTTCATCAATAATGTTAGGCGAAATGACCCGTATAGTAACACTTACAACGAGGGGTGGCGCCAGCATCCCAACTTCTCCTGGGGTGGGGCAAATT